AGAGGCTAATATAATGGAAAACATACTGGTCTGGAAGCTTTAGTCCTAATTCTGCCACCAACTAGGTCTGTGATTTATGCAAGCCATCAACACCTCTTAGGTCTCATTTTCCTCATCTAAAAAATGAAGAGTTTATATTAGATGATCTAAAATACTTTCTAGTCCCAATTTCTTTTTTTTTTTTTTTGTCTTTTTCGTGACCGTTAAGGGGATCGCAACCCTTGGTGTGGTGTCACCCGCACTACGCTCAGCCAGCGAGCGCACCGGTCATTCCTATATAGGATCCGAACCTGCGGCGGGAGCGTCGCTGAGCTCCCAGCGCCGCACTCTCCCGAGTGCGCCACAGGGCCGGCCCTCTAGTCCCAATTTCTGATGAGCTGTGAAATGATTCCTATTCAAAGAGAGACTCCTATCTCATTTATGCTTTTGAAATGTTATTTACTTAGATACACATATATATGTACATGTCCCCAACCTACACTACAGAAAATATCTTAAGATGGCTTAGATGGATGACCTTAGACTATCACTATTACCTTATAATCATTTCCAAGTAATTTTTGTTGTAGAAGTTCTGTATTTTAATAGTTCAGAATGGACTCTGATATATAACAACACTTTAAAAATGCATAACCATTTTTGCTAAACATACATTTTAATGACTTACACAAAATGATTCACATCCTTTCCTTACAAGTGTCTCCCAGGATTCCATCCATAGGCCTAGTCTCTTCACATTGGCCTATCCCATTCACAACCATAGTTTCAACTATTACAGAAAAGTTAGGTCTCTCAAGTCTGTATTTTAGCCTAGATCTATCTCCTAAAGTCCATATCCATATATTCATCTGCCATTTACATATTCCATCCAATGTCATTATTTCAAATTCAAAATTCAACAGTGAACAAAGAACTCATCTCCCTTTCCTCTGCCAAATCTTCTCCTCTTATTCTATTCACCATCTCAATGTATAAGGACAGGACACTCAGGCGCCCAAGCCAGAAATCTGAAGCCAATCTTCTCTTGTCCCCTCCAACTCCTCATATCCAATTAGTTACCAAATCCTACTGAACTGAAGCATCACATCTTTCATATCTCTCCAGTACTCTTTATTCTCACTGCCATTGCTTAGTTTAAGCCCTGATAATTTCTTAATTTCTTGCTGGATTCCTGTAACAGCTTCTTAAAAATCAATTTTATTGGGCCGGCCCGGTGGCGCACTGGATAGTGCGCCGCTTGGGAAGCGCGGCGGTGCTCCCGCCCGAGGGTTCGGATCCCACATACGGACCGGTTCCCGCTCACTGGCTGAGCGAGGCGTGGGAGCAACACCGAGGGTTGTGATCCCGTTGCCGGTCCCCGGTCCGGTACGGGGGCGACACTGAGGGTTGCGATCCGTTGCCGGACACGGAAAAAGACAAAAGACAAAAAAAAAAAAAAAAAAAAA